TGCTGATTAAGATGCCAACGAAAAAATAACAATTTCTGGAAAGAAGGGGTTCTCTAGAAATCGTGCTTTTCTTAGCAGAGATGACTTGGCCATATATTGTGAGGGAGTCACACTTCCAAGATGGATGTGTAAAACAGAAAGCCCAGCACTACAAAAGGACAATCAATGGAACTCAATCACTGATGTGGGGGAAGGTGGAGCTTCCCCAGAACAAGCTTTGCAATTTTAAGAACACCAGCAGTCCTCTAATACACCCTCTACCTATCAAGGAAATTAAACTAGTCTAAAATAGATCAGTCCCCCAAGAGTTTGAAACATTAAGGCTGAAGAATCAGAAACTTGATAAAGAACAGTAGGAAATTAAGGTGTTTAGTTGAAGTGTGGAGATCAAAAACTGACACTAGTGTCCCCTATATTTTTGTATTTCTTACCCACCATCGAGGATCCTGCCAAACTAGAAAACGTTTTTCCCTTTTTGAAGCAAATCATTACATTTCTCGGAAGGGAAACCACACTTGACTATTTTCCAATAGCAGAACACTGACTTGTAAGTATTATAAGGAGTGGAGGTACAACGAATCTTTCCAAAAGGCAGTCATGCCTTCACTTTGTATCTCATGGTACAGGTATTTTAGAATATTTTTAGGCACAAAAAGTTTGACAGACAGAAACCACCACCACCACACACCCCATCTCTTCCAACTTCAGGTACCATTTTTGCTCTTACTGTGTTTCTCCCCATGCCCAGACACACTAGGACAGGGGTATAAACACCTACTGAGCATGATGGGTTCCACTGCTTGGGGAAGATTTTACCATTTGCTTAACTTCACAACAAAGTCGACAGACAACACTGAAGAGAAACTACATTCCAGCATTTCCTGCTCAAAACACTGAACAACAGCTGATAAAAGCATTTTGTCAAAACAGCACATTCAGCGTTCTCATTAACAAGAGAATTTCTATGCAAGACCACGTCATCCAGAGCAGAACTATATCTAGAAACTCCCCAAGAGGTCACATGGGTGGTAGCAGATCTGCAGAGGCTTTGATCAAGCAGAGCACAATCTAGAAGTCACATTTGTACTGGAAGAAGAATATAGTGTCTGTGCCAAGACACTGCTCTTGCTCTGTGCAAGTTCTGGTGCTTAATGTCAATCATCAGCTTCATCTCACACACTAGATAGTAGTCCCTGACTCTACTCCAGACTTTCTCTTACAACCAGAAGTCACTACACCCCCCAGGAGAAGAAAAGTGAGAGTAAGACCGACCCACACTTATCCACTGACTGATGACATCAAGCATCAACGCTAAGTAAAAGATACTTGGCACAGGAGCTAGCTCAGGACAACAAAGGTAAATCCAAATGCCAAAATGCAGTTTTAAGAAATTCTCCCTGTGCTTCAGAGCAGGAAGAGATACCACAAATGAACTGATTCTAAAATACATTCTGGAAAGTTACTGTAAGAAAATTGAGTCATCTGAGACTATGACAACACATGCACACGGGAAGGGCATGAAGATCAGCATGAGGGGAGACTAACCAATACTTGGTGTCCAAATCAAGCCCCTCACAATGATTTATGTAAGTAATTTGCTTTAGAATCTTTAATTTTAAAAAAATACCCAAGATTTGTGGTCATAGAGATACTTGATATATAGACAAGAATGGTTCTATCTTGTTCAGTACAGCTAAACCTAGGACAGCAATTCCTAACAACTGAATCTTCCACGTAAACAGCAAAGATTTTTATCCCTGGTATTAAGAGAAGAATTTCCTTTGGCAACATAAAGAATTCCTGCTTCAGGAAATGCCTCTGCATGTACTGGTGAGACACGTATACAATATTTGCTAACAAAGAACAAAATAATGTTTTCCGGTGAAACTCAAAACTCAAAGCCAAATCACGGATTTTCTACTGGCTTCCGGATAAGGCCTTGTGGATGATTTAGGACAAATGTTTTTGAGAAGATGCACGTTTTGGTCCGTCAAGACTTCAGTTTTTAAAATCTACAATAAAAGTAAATCCAACTTAATTGGTTTCATAAAATAATGAGTCAATTCATAACAATCTGCCACCAAGACAATTTGAAACAAAAAAATTCAGTCCTAATCTTCAAATTTACAAACTTTTGAAGGGTCTGTCTTCAAGACAGAAATATTCATGTAACATTACTTGCAGAAGTGCTTCTATATGTTGTCAACAGCAAAACACCAGGCTCTGTGAAGAATCCACCATGATTTCAGAAATGTGACAGTAAAAGATGTGAGCAAACACAAATGTCTGCACCCAGAGCTAAGACTGGTCTTCAGTTAGGAATGGAGGAGTCAGGTCCCCTTGATAACTAGTTTCAGTGAAGACTAAGACCATCAAGTATTCATTTAGACAACTCCCCTACTACAGATCTCAACAGTAATCCTACTCAGCTCAAGTTCCCATTGATACTGCTGCACTGTGTTCAGTGGCATTTCCCCTTAACAACGTTCAACAGATCACAGAGAATCCAGGATGGCTTGGCACGATGCAAATTTTCTCTTCAGTACTGCTATTTCACTCCCATGATACACATTCTATATTCAGTGTAGTTCTGCTCCAAGTGTTACATGTTGCTCAATTCTCAGGACATTTATAAATATGGCACATGGTCAGACAAAAATTTGTGCAAGGGCTGCAGAAGGATAAAGCAAGAGGACCGATTCATCACAGTATGGTGCCCTACTCCCTGCTTTTTATCCCTCAGAACCCTGGAATTAGTGACATTCCCATATCATCTAGCTATTTATTAGTTCTGTGCCCTGAAGTCTGGATGTCCTACATCTGAGAGATAAGGGCTTCTGAAATTCTCAAGTATGCCTGCAGACTAAATTGAGCCAGACTTTCCTGTCCTCTAGAATGAAAGAATTTGTCTGTAGTAACACACATCAGGATGACAAGAGTTCAACCACTACATGGCAAAGCAAGTCTCCCTGCCAACTTTTACCACTGCTTAGGACTTGCCTCACTCTGCTGCTCTCCCAGGAATCAAAGCAAACAGACCCAAAATAAAATTCAAGCAGCTTCAAAAAGAGCCAAAATCTTATGGATGCCCAATTTTCCTTCTCAATAGTTACCTCTTACAGATAGCTGTATCTACTCCATCACATGTGCATGTAACAGCATGCTTTCTTCATTATTCAGTTTTTCAATTATCTTCATTCATTTTCCAGAAAAAAACAAACACACACCGCCCCCAATCTCTTCATCTTGCAGTACTAGTAATGGGAATCTAGCTTTTTTCTCCCATGAGCTAATCCTTTATGTTCAAGCACTCAGCATACATCATTTCAGTCACCTTCTCCAAGGGGGTGCACATGACAAATACAGTCCACTCTTAAGGAAGATGAATCATGGTGGGCACTTCTTAACAACACAGCTGCAGAAGAACACCCAGAGTAGGATAAGACATTTTAGGGAGCCACCCACCCCTGTGGAACTCCAGCGTCTAATGTTTTTCCAGCTTTTTGTGCAATGGATGTCTCTATCCCTAGTCAGTTGTTCCAGGAAGATTCTCCCCAGCTAGGGTTAAACATTGGGAATTCCAAAGCAACAGGTTATGTACAGACATATCAGCATTCCCTCCAACAGAGGGACAAAAAGGAGAGCATTCCAGAGGATGTGTATCCCCTACATTTTCTGAATCCCAGTCTCACCCTTGCCTTGGAATGAGCTCTACAAAGCAGCATCTGTTATGTAATGAATCTCAGCTCCCTTTCTTTGGAGAGTTTCCCCTCAAAAGTAACAGGCAAATCCTGGGATGGAGACAGGTGCTGGGGAGAGGGAGGTCTCCTTAGGATGATTCGCCAGAAGCAAGAGCAGCTTTCTTCTTAGGACGCGCTTTCACACTTCGTGCTGGAAGCTGAGGAGAAAGAAGGAGAAGGCATCTTGGTTTAGTTTACTTCAACACCTAAATGTCCAACAGGAAGATGTAAGAATAGAGTGAAAATAGGACACAACAACTGCAACAGCCTATTCCTGTCATCTGTTGTTGCAAAAAGGCTATTTAACCATTTGGTTTTGGTTAGAAATAGTGTGATAACTGTCTTTTCACAGTATCACTTCAAAAATTCCTCAGTAGGAAGCCTGGAATGAAATTTTGTTCCTCTTGTTTCCCTACTCCTGTATAATATGCTAGAGAAGAAAGCAGAGGTGTCAACTCAGAATTAAGCCTTGGGAATTTAAAATTATCCAGGCTGACATTACATGCATCTTTAGACATACATCTCTATCCCTGAAGATATTCAAAAGCCATGTGGACATGGGTACTGCGAAACCAGCTCCCAGTGGCATTACTTGAGCCATGAGGTTGGACCAGATGCTCTCCAGACGTCCCCTCCAACCTCAACTATTCTGTGACTCTGTTAACAAACAGCAATTCATCACATGCAAAGACGTCCTGCAAACCGCAAAATCAAGTTAACCGTATGACTTAAAACGATGCTCTAAGCAATTGCTTTCATCCAAATTATTTAATATTTAGCCTGAAAAGCTCCACAATGGGAACCAGTCATATAGCACTCTTTATCTTAAATAAAAAATAAAAAATAAAATTAGGAGTCTGGGTCAAACCAAGCAAATAGGACCCCAACTTCACAAAAAGCAGAAGTATTTTGTCACCTATAAATCAAACCACAGGAAATCTTCAAGTACAAGTGAAAACCCGGAAAGTAGCACCTCAAAAAGCACATGGTCACATGGACAGCACAGCTCAACAACGACCAGTTACTCGAACTTCAAGATAAAACCTTGGGGTTGGAAGAAGCCTGAGGGGGAATTACATTTTCCCCGTATCTAACAGGCAGAAGTCCAGGAACGCTTAAAGAGGGTATGGAACTGTTGGATTTTAGATGCACAGAAAGTGTCTGTCACAGGTTGTCACACTAGTATATCTTTAGGCCATAACAGACAGGAGAAAGGACGTAGTCAACAAAATGTTACAAATATCACAAAACCTGAATGAAAGCAAAGCTGGATCCTGGGTTATGACAGAGGCTTACAGGCGTGACCAAAACACAAAAGCTAGAGACTAGTATAGCAAGTGGACAGCAAGTCCTCTGATGTAGGACTCAGCTAGTAAAGACTTAGTCCCACAAGGTTTATATAAGCAGCTTTTAAATGCACTGAGACTATGAAGCCAGAGCCTTCCAACAAAACTCAAAAATCAATGTCTGTCTTGGAAATTTACACACCAGCTCACCTCAGCTTTTGTCATCTTCTTAGGAGTTTTGACACTCTGGGTACGTTTAGGAAGTTTGTCTCCTGCATCTTCATCTGATGGGTCTGTTCTAGTCTCTGACGGGGTTCCATCAGACCTCTGTGCCACACTGCTCTCCTCTCCTGAGGAGTAACAGGAAGCTAAGAAATAAGAGAAAAATTTAACTAATACTTTTGTAAAAACACATGAAGCCTAAAATGGACCATCCTGAAGGACCACGTGAAAGGAAAATGTCAACAACCCTTGAGAAAGATAATCCAAAAGCACAGAGATGTGTTAGTAGATGGGAGGGGACAAGGAAATACAACATAACTTCTCCAAGATAATTTGGAATCTTGTAGTCTTGCTGAGACAAATGCATGAAAAGACCAGCAAACCCCTCCTTCACTCCTGATGTTATGTACCTGAATCCTCAATGGTTTCAAGAAGACTCCCACCAGATGGGTGCAGGTGTGGCTCATGGCTTTGCATATGTAAACCATCTTCATCTCGGATTAGAGTGAGATCCTGCATGCTGAAACTTCGCAGCTTCTCTGACAAGACTCCCTGGCCCTAAGAGGATGTAAGAAAAAAGATCACAGGTACTTTACTTTCACCAAGATCATCTCACACAGGATCATTCAGAGGAAGAGGAAAGGTGCCCCATTCCCCATAGTAGGGTACTCCAAAGAAAACCCAACGCAACAGAGAGGGCAAAAAGAAAAGCACGCTCCCAAGGACCAATGGGGAAGAGGATAAAGCAAAATCCAGACCACTCTCCCTCCATTTTGGGATTAACTGCAAGACAAACTGGAGGAAAGGAAAAGTAGCTTGGTGCCAACAAGTACCAGCATCCCTAACAGAACCATGGCACTAATCGCTGGCACGAAAAACTAAACTGCTGGGGAATTTCCAAATGTTATAGAAAGTGTTGAATTACCTTTGCAGCTGCAGTAACTGCTGCATTGGCAGCAAGGTTTAGCCCTCTCTTGCCAACTCGCATCATGGTTTCGTAGCTCTTGTCACGAGCCTGAGTAATGTATTCATCAATTTCCTAGGAAGGCAATGTGGAAGGAGGCATTCAGCTCTTTGTTACTACCACAACCAAAGTCTCCCCACCATCCCCCTTAAAAACCCAAGCTCCTCTGGACACTTTTATCCCCACTACTAGCATCAGCAATCACTGACCACATAACTGCAGTTTCCCTGCCACTTAGAGAAAGCTTGCAAATTCAACTTTTACTTAAAGTTTGCTGTCTCCAAATCGTAACAACTGAAACAAATCATTTGCTTATATTGACAATGTGAAAAAACAGCATGACTACAGAACATGCTGCTCTTATCATGATTCAAAGAGCTTAACTACTGACAGTGACGATAAGGGCTCATGACACTGAGTTAGCCAAACATGCTTTCTATGCACTAGGCAAACTACTGGCTACAGGACAATTTCCAGCAAGCTACAGTATGACAAAGCCAGGATCATCCTACATCCATTAATGTCAACACAAGCATGATTCACGCATTTCAGTTTTGATTGTTGCATAACTGAGTTAGAAGTCAGTCAACTCCCAGACAAGTCAGTATCTTCTAACAACAAACAAGTACCTTCTCCTTATTGGAGAGCGTTGGGTGCACAAACTTCCTGTAGAGGACACTGGAGCCCTTGGTGTAAGGGGAGAGCAGCCAAATCACAAATGCGATTTTCAGCTCGAAATAAAAAGGAAACCTGAGAGAAAGAGGGAAGAAAAAAAAAAAAACCCAAGAGAGAAAGAGAGAGAGAAAGATGGAGAACTGGAATCAAGATCAGCACAGAGACAGATGGAGAAAACTGGTAGAGAGCAGCAGAGGCAGTAAGAGCAAAGGCAAGATAAAGGCTCAGAAACAAAGAATCCATATATCAAGTCAGAACAGCAGAACCCTCTTTGGAATCCTAGGACATACCTTCTTCGAGTCTCATTTAGTCTTTCATCCATAGCCATGAAAACGCCATAAACAGGGCATCTCTCAGCCCTGCAAACACACCAAATCACAATCTGATAGCTACTCTCATAATTCTGAGGTTTGTTCAGAGCATCCACTGCATGTTAATATCACATTAGGTTCCCTTTCATTTTCCCAAGTTTCCAACTGTTCATCTCAATAAATCTCAAGTTCCTGCTAAGGCTGATGGCTCAACATCTGAAACTTCCAGTAGATACTCCTCAGGTAAGACACAAAAAAAGGATCAGTGTAAATGAAAAAGAGCAGGCAGCATGTTAAAAGTCTTTAATCTCTAACCTCTTACTCAATAAAGTCTCTGGGAAGATACAGAAACAAGTGAATGCAAACTTCCTATTGTTTCCATTAGTAGTAAAAGACTTTTGTTTTCAATGGTCCACTTTCAGCACATGAACAAGCCAAAGCTCTTGTACTTTTTAGATCTTTGTCTGCTTTTCAGTTTATGCAGGAAAATGCAAAACTGCTGAGCACTTTCATAAGGCATACATAGCCATTTCATATCTCTTTAAAAGATGCAGCTCTTGACTAGTATTCTTTCAGAGATGCATGCAAAGCTCAAACACTAAAGCAATGAAGACACTAAGATAACCTGTTCCAAAGCCTCAGTTGAAGACATATAATGATTCGTCATTGTTGGAGGACTCCATTTTGCCTAGCATGACATAGCACTGAAAGGATTAAGAACTTGCTTCCTCCAAAACAGCTCCATGCTAGCAGCTGATGATTTCTTCATGTAAAACACCACTCAGAGCACAGACATGCATCTGATCTGCTCTTCCATACAACTGGTTTGCAAAATGAAACAGGTCCCTTCTTCTACCAGCTTTCTTATCAAAATGTCTTTTAGACCACCACTTTTCAGACTTCACCAGGTCACATTAACAGCTTCACAAAAATGTTTTATATTCTGAACAAATGAAGATCCTCTTACAGATACTGTGTATTTATCCTAACTGTTTGCAAGTACAGGAGATGAAACACCTAAAACAGGAGATGAAACAGCTAAGACAGCTGTTGCTACCCACAGACCTGTTGCAAACCTGCAGACTCTTCATGGTGGTTGAAAAATCTTAAAGGAGAGGTAGTTTTTTCTTGGCATCCTAACACTACTGGGCTCTTCCTTAAAAACAAAACAACAACCAACAAAAAGAAACACAACAAAACACAAAAACCACCAACACGGGATCAAGGAAGAACTCACCAGGAGAGAACAATGTCTGTGAGTGTTTCTGCAGTGGTGAAAAAGGCAAACACAATCCAGTACATCATCCACTTCACCTGCAAAAGAGCAGTCACTCAACAGACATCCATCAGAACCCAGAAAAAAAGTGAAACATCTCAGTAAAAATGTCTCAGCATCTCCACACATTAAGATGAATTTAACAACAAGAAGGCATAAATAATCAGTAATGGAGAGGGTCACATACCAAATGGTACATTATAGTCTGGGGAAACATGTAGGATTAATGTGGCCTAAATAGACAAATGTATACAGACACACTGATGAATGCACGCCCTGTACAACATGATGATGCAACAGCGTTAAAGTCACAAACAAACTATCTAAAGAAAGAGTAAGCGATTCACTTTAAGAAGTTATAGTCTTTCATATGTTATCCTTATTTTAATAAACGTATATACAAATACACATATGGAAAAGTTTAGTTTCAACCGTAGCCCTGTATTTTCTTGATTTAATGATTCTTCTTGGGAAGAAATAACCCAAAATGACAGAGTATTTTGCTCCAACTCATTAATAAGCATTCCTTGCCTTAATCTTTACTCCCAGAAATTACATTTCTCTTTTCTTTTTAAATAAAGGCTCACTAGGAGAGGTAAGATAGCAAAGAACATGCAACATCAATCTTTTCTTATTTAAGGTCTTGAGTATAATGTATGTGTCCTTCTTGTTATTATGGCACATCTGTATGCCTGTCATCTCCCTCCCTACTTCCTCACACATTTCTCTGGTGAAGTAGAGATTTCTTTCAAAACAAACATCAACTAATTCCTTCCTAACGTACACACTCTGCTGTTTTACTAACAAGTCTCTTGGCTACAGGCCAATTATCACTAAAGAGGGATCAGCTGAATTATAAAAACTGCTACCCAAAAATTCCCATTAGCAGAAAAGTCATTATTTTATACAGGTAATTGCCAGTTTTCTTTATTGTTAAGAAGTAACAATAAATTTAAGTAGCTTATAAGTGGAGTGAAGAGGTCACCTTTGCTAAAAATCAACCAACACTATCAGTGTCATAAACAGTGGGAAAGAAGAAATAAACTGAATCAAGGAAATTCCACATATTAAATCCACATGTTAATCCATATAAATAAATTACATTAATAATTTAGCAACAGTCTTCGTTACAGGAAATGAAGTTATAAAAGCAGGTATTTCCCCAAACTTGCATGTGTTGGAAAATCTGACTATCTGTCCTTGAAAGAACCTCCAAAGCTTTCTACAAAACACAATGCGATTATGCTGCTTGCAGCCCCCTAACACAATGAATGGTTTTGAAGACAGTGATTAGAAGCCCAAATCACTTGTATTTTATGGCACTCTACTACCTTTTTAATGTATATCTATATACAATTTATTTATTTATTATATCAACAGTTTGGACAGAACCAGGACTCATTCACTTAACTTCTAAAGCAACTCCATGAAACGTATGGTTACCTCTCAGTGCATCAACAAAAATCAGCTCTTATATGAAAGTGTGAGAATAACGACAAATCAAAGGTGGCTACCCACAGGGATCCCAACAGCCAAGAGATTTCAGAGAAGCAACGTACCAGTAAATCATACTTCAGTATTAACTAAAATTAAGGTAATAACAATAAAAGCAATTAGCAGATACTTAGATATATATAACATAATAAGGAATATACTGGATGTTTTTTTTCAGAAAAAAAAAATTAACCTCACAAATACAGCAGATTTCTTAAAAGTTTCCATTAAGCTTTTCCTATAGTGCTTCCCTTACAGACAGAGCATAGGGAGTTTCAGAGTTTCCAACAGGCCTAAATGAACACTCAAAGAAACTAAATCAAGGATAAAAAGGAAGGGATTTTTATGGATTAACAACTGGTTAAAGGAGAGGAAACAAAGGATAAGAATAAGTGGCCATTTTTCACAATGAGGAAAGTTACCAGTGGAATCCCACAGGAATCAGTGTTGAGATCTGTGCTGCTCATCTTCATGAAAGATCTGGAAAAGGTTGTGAATAATAATAATACAAAAGGTGCAGAAGATAATTCTCTATCCAGAAGATTAGGTATGAGTTGATTCAAGAATTCAGAAAGGGATCTATACTGATTGATCTCCAGTTGACATTTTGTCACTAAATGTTGTTAATAGGAAGTAATGAACTTACAGTATAAGCTTTTTCTTAGTGAAAACTATTGAGGTTACATAAATTAGCTCATGCCACCTGGGAGTGGTCACTGTAGGCAGCCTGATGAAACCATAAGCTCAGTGCTCCTCAGACTTTTTCAGTCTGCTGACAGAATGCCCAGGAATATGACAAGACTAAGCGAGAAGAACAGAAAATGCTGCTTTGTTACTGTTTAAATAAACCGTGTGTTCACATCTTGGATGCCGGGAACACAGGTCTCTTGCCCTGTCTCCTCCTACCACCCCTCACCCTACATTCAACAGCCAAAGTAAAAAACAAAGATAGCTCATAAATAAACTAGAAGGATGCAACTTCTAGCTCTAGAAGTCCCTGAGGTGCAGACGACCAGAAAGCAGACGAGCAGAAAGCAGAGGGGAAGAATAACTGATTTTTTTTCTTATGATGTTTGTAATTCACAGATTACAAGCACCTTCAAAAACTGAGGGCCAAACCAGGCTACATATTGTTTTCAAACCATTAAAAAGGAGACAGGTCTTTGCTGCTCAAACTGATGACCACCAACTTCAGCTAACTCTCCATTAATATCCTGGGTTTGAGTGAGGATGAAACCACTTTTCCTTTTACTGTTTTGTTGGTTTTTTTTTCCTTCAGTAAGCTGGCTTTGGAAATATGCAGCACAGCATCCAAGTTTTCCACTGACTTTTCACATGAAGAGCAGTTTATACAGATATTAGGCTCCTTTCCTGTATTTAACAAACTATTTCTCCCCATCTTTCCACTTATCTTGAGAAGGAGGAAGCCCTCCCAAGATAAGTGAATTAGGCAGATGGCAGTCCAACATCTAAATGCTCATTTGTGAGGTAGTCCTCTCAAGGAAAAATAAATTATACATAAGATCAGCTTTTGCAGGTCAAATACATTTTCTCGAACCAACTCCAGTATTTTCATTGAAAGTAAAAACCATTTTCTGCTGCAGCAATCCAGAATTACGTACTTCAAGAAAACTGCATTGATGAAGCATTAAAATAAACTGAAAAATGAATGTCATACTTTTCCACATCAGTCCCAGTGGGGCTTGTAACAGGTGGTTAGTCAATACTATTGGTAAGACAGCTTTAAGATACTCAAGTATTGTATCGCATTTCTTTTTCCCAATTATGTCAGGGAAGTATTACAGTAATTTAGGTAACACCGACCTAAAGAAAACCAGACCAATACAATGTTTACATTATTAAAAAAACCACAACATTTATGTACCTCAACAGCTAACCTACCCACAAAAAAATAAGCTGGTTCTTACTGTAAGGAATGACTACAAATTCACAGACTCCATATTTAATGGGTCTTTCAGCTCCAGACCAAGTATGCTACAGTTTCGAAAAGTGAGATGCTTTTGGTTTTTTGCTCTCAAGTTCTCAACGAAACAATTTAAGACTCTGAAATCTGAGTCTGTCTTAAAGTCAACATGGATTCTGTAATGGAAACACAAATCATTCCAGGACAGAAATTGATGAGCCAAGATAAAATTCTGGTTAAAAATAAGAATTTCATGCAACAAATGAAGGTCATAGGCAATTGGAAGGAAAGAAGAAAAGAAGGTCCGAGAACATAACAGTAATGTGATACTACTTCATACGTAGCTTCAAAGATAACTAGCTATGAAATCATAGGATCGTGCAATTATTCAGACAGCCTCTTTAATGCTTTCTTTTCAGTTTCTACTATTACACAAAAACTTCCAAGTTTAGTAAGGCTCATCCTATTCTGACTGCATCTTTAATACTCAAAAGATTGTATCAGTTATCAAAGCATCCTGAACATTCAGGTTCAGACTTCTCTGCTGAGACAATATTAAAAAAAACAACCAACAAAACCCAAAAAACCACAACACCTGCGCCAGATGTTGTGGTTTGTAAGGTTGCCCCCTATGAGCAGGAGCGTCACCTCTGCTGGCATCTCCTTCAAAAACCAGTGAGCTGAATTTTAAGCCAACACACAGGAAACGTGTAGGCCAGTCTGAAACACAACAGGACTGTGTTCTGCAATATCTATCGATGACCTGTCACTCTGTAAGGAGCAAAGGAAGCCAGCGGGATGAAGAGTCCCAGACTGCACCACAAAGCAATACTGACAAGTTACATCCCAGCCACCCATGTTATCTGTCCTCTCCGTTAGGTTATTCCTCGCTGTGGATAAAGAGAAACTCATTCCACCCATAAGCCTAATAGCTCTTGTTCCTACTGATCAACTAAGAAGATGACATACATTTAGTGTTTTAAATACAGTAACTGTAACAATTATGTAGACAGAGAAGGGGAAATTATCCCAGAAAGGAGGATGCAGTCCTTGACAAACAGAAAACACTGATCATAAGTAAGGCTGAGACCACGACACAAACCAAGAAAAACTACCCAGCTTTTTGAAAGAAAAGTAGCACTGAAAAACCAATAAAAGGACACGGAATAAGGATAAAGCTGGACGAAACAACTTGTCCTGGACTTTCAAATGCTTGCAGACTGCAGCGTTTATCCCGCTTTCCCTTCTCACTCAGCACCTCCCGAGGAGAACCAGCCCCCGTTCCCTGGACGAAGCCTCCGCGGCAGCTCCCCCGGCCCTGCCGCTCGGGGCCTGG